AGGCAAGAATAACCTGGGTGTGTAAGGAACTGAAAAGAAAAAGAAAATAGTGTACTGGGACAAGTGAGAGAAGGGGTGAATGTTAGAGATGAAGACTGTTAGGTTGTGAGGGCTGCCATAACAAAGTACCACAAACTAGGTGGCTTAAACAACAGAAATTTGTTGTCTTGGTTCTGGAGGCCAGGAGTCTGAGGTCAAGGTGACAGCCAGGTTTGCTCCTTCTAGGGCTGTGAAGGAGAATCTTTTTGTGCTTCTCTCCTAGCTTCTCAGGGTTTGCTGGCAATCTCTGGTGTTCCTTGGCTTGTTTCTACACAGCTCCGATCTCTGCCTTCATCTTCTCATGGCGTTCTCCCTGTATGTGTGTGCTTGTTTCCAAATTTCTGTCTTATAAGGACACCAGTCATATTGGAAAAGTGCCCACTCTACTCTAGTACAACCTCATTAATTTAATTAATCACATCTGCAATGACCCTACTCCAAATAAGGCCACATTCTGAGATACTTGGATTTGACTTTAGCATATGAAATAATTTTAGGTGGACACAATTCAATACATAACATGAGCTTAGCAAGACAGGCCAGATAAAGATCATTGAAGGCTTCAGAGGCCAGGTTAATGGGTTTGGATTTGCTCTGAATGTAATGGGACATCACCAAAGGGTTTCAAATCAGGCAAGTGACATGATCTGATTTATGTTTTGAAAAGATTATTCTGGCTGTTGTGTTAGATTATTAAACAGCTCCTGTGCCTGCATGAGTCATGACTCCCCTGCTAGGGATGGGAACTTTCATCATAACAACCACTTACTGGACTTAAGGCTTTAGTTTTCATTATCATTAGTTTGAAGGAAAAAAAAATTAGCTTCTAATTGATAAGATGAATACATCCTATAATGACATATTAAAAAAATGCTGTTTTCTCTCCTGGATGTTTACTCTTAAAAAATTATGAAACTGATACAAACTTTGGGTAAAAACTTCAAATAATACTGAAGGAAGTAAATTAGTAAATATAGGAGGACCCCAGGCACTGTTCCTCTACCCCTATCCATTCTCACTTCTCATTTTTATACACATCCACATTTTAAAAGATACCTCTTTGGAGATCTCCTTTCTAAAATTGTTTCTGACCATCTCTACACATCTCCATACAGATTCATACACACATTAAATTTTTAACACTAGGCCAACTGAGCAATCATGCAGGCTCCTATTACTCTCTTCTCATAAACTGACCTGGAAACATTCAAGATGAACAGGAACACTTAGCCCCAGATTATCAGAAAGATCACTGGACTTGGTGTCGAAATCATTGAGGTTCAGTTTCTGTCATAACACTCCCAGCATCTGAGATAATGGACAGACAAATCATAACAAAGTCTTAGTCTTAGCTTCCTCATATTTTATCTATCTCACGGTTATTGTGAAATTGAAGGGTATGTGTGTAATAAACCATTTCTAGCATATTGCTGCTAGTGTATATAACCCTCCTCTCCACTCCCCACATACACACAGCCATATCTGTTGGCATTCATCATATACAAGGGAGTTTGGTTTTGTAACTGGAACTAGAAAGAGGAGTTATGCTGGAAGACAGGCAAAGAGGGAAGGGGTACAATTGGCTTTGTCAGGCTGGGTGATATCTGGGGTAAGAAAGAGTTCTCTGAGTGGCTTTGTAGGCTTCAGATGTGGCCAAGTGGGAGCTGGAGCTGGATCTGGAGGGAACAAAGTGGGTGCATCCCTCTTGTCAACCATAGGAGACAGACTGGTTTGAGTATATCCAGGATGCCCTGATTTAGTGGATATCTCAGAGCCATGAAAGCAAAAATAACTGGGAAACATTTTGGTGGGAGAGGAGGTATCAAGATTCTGCTAATATTCAGGAGAGGACAACAACCCATAAATATTGGACTTGGGGGAAAAATTCTGTCACTAGAATATTCCGCCAGTTTATGCCATTCTGAATTGACTCTGTTTTGGATTTTTATCTAGGGAACAGATCTTATGTTTCCTTTCATTGAATTCCCACTGCCTAGTGGTGCTCAATAAATATTGGTTGAGTGAATTATCTACTTTATCCCTCAGAACCAGTGGAATAACAATGATGTTTGTATAGCCAACTTGTAAAGCCCAGCTTTCATACCTAGTTTTGATTCATTTCAATAGTACAATGAGACAGGTTTTATCATCATTCCTACTTTACAGATGAAATTACTGAGGTTCGGAAGTCAAACATGTACCAAAAATCATGTGGCGAATAAGTAGCAGAGGTTGAAATAGACATGCCCTCTGTCACCTATAAAGGGCTGTATGAGATGGTGATTATCAGGTTGTGACTTGTAAAATAAAAGAACCAGTTGTGGGTGGGTATGTGTGGTGCCCTGGAAGGTGTTATACATCTAGGAAACAGACACATCTTCAGGCAGGAGGCAGAAACTAAGGTGGCAAGCTTTACACAACCAGCCATTCCACCACTACTGTCTTTTCGGAGGTCCTGCTCTATTCTGGGCACTGTATCTGGTACTTGGGATACAAGAGTGAACAAATAGAACAATGTGTTCTCCTACACAATGCTAAGATGGAGCCCACCACATAGGAGGCTGAGAAGGCTTCAGGGTGGGCTCAAGCCTATACTATTCCCATATGGTTTTCCAACTACTAGTCCAAGGTATGGCACTGAAACTCCAGGAAGCTATATTTTAATACACATTTCAGATTATTCTGATGCACAGTCAGAGACAGCCAGATGAGCTAATTACACATCATACTGACTCTTTTATTTTCCTTAAGCTTTTAGACTAAAAGTTCTACCTCTACCTCAGCTGTACAATAGAGACTCTTAGACTAGAATATTGAAAAAGGAGTGATCTCCGCCATGCCCCAAGACCAGTAAGGTAACCAGAAAAATTGCCTAAATGGTAAAGAGAATGTTGTGGAACAAAAAGCCATAGTGTGAGGTCCAGAAGCCCCTTTTCAAGAGGAAATTCATCCTCTAAGGCCAATATTAGAGATCCTGAATTTTATTTGATCAAAAACGGTAGCAATTCCTTTTCATTAAGCCTCAAGTCCAGGTTCTCTGTTTCTGAATCTTATACTTTTCTCCATTCTATGTGTCTTCTGTTCTATCTGCAGCCTCCTGAATCAAGATCCTAAAATATCTATTTAGAGATCTTAGCAGTGAATAATGTATAAGAATGGAACCTCCTCACCACCCAGTCTACGTTATAACAGCCTGAATTTTTTAAGACACCTGGAATAGTCTCAGTTTGTGGCTGTTGTCCCTGAATAATTATTAACACCACCATCCTATTGTCAAAAGTGTTCTAGTCATACGATAAATTATATGGCCATTCTAATAAGGGAGGAACTGGAGACCTTCTTTCCTCATTGTTTTTATCTTGGACACCGCTTTGAAAAAGAAACTACAACTTTCAGATACCAGGACGATAAGCTCTTAAAAACAGGTACTGCCAAGTGATTTTTTTAAATAAGAAAAGCATAAGTTTTATTGTATACATTAAAAATAGAATGTCTGATAAACTAAGAAATACCTTGTGACTGGATTTTGTATTCCCAGCATCTAGTTCTATGTATGAATTAATGCTTCTTGCCCTGCCTACCCTCAGACACAGTTCTCTTGACTAACCCTTAGCTACATTAGTATTTTAATGATTGCACTGACATCTGGTGGTCATTTCCAGGTTTTTCTCTGGGCAGCTCCTGTACTAGATGATGAATAGATTAGCACCTCATACTCCATCAAAGCCACTTTTATCTGAGCCCTACAGCGACTAGACATGACACTCTAATTCATAGCAAGTTGTTGATAGCTGGCAACAGCTAGATGAATTATTTTTTCTCAAAAAGGCACTTAGATTAGAGGCTGGGATACTGATAGTGTGGAAGGGGTCCACTAAAATGATAAATGACACCAAAAACTGAAATTTCTTTATAGACTTTCAGGCTTATGAGGGAGTTATTTTTACATAGAAGTGTCCTTCATGAAATGATACCAAGTAGGCCAAAGGCATTAAAACTTTTGGTAGCAACAAGATATCAAGTCAACACCAGTGCAAATGGGATCAAATGTCAACTGGAGAAATTCTTAAATGAAAACTTGCAAGGAAAACTGCCTTACTAGTGGTCTGGCTAACAAAGAGAGGGAGAAAGAGGGGAGGAAGAATCAGATGCAGGAAAAATAAAATGAGAAAATAAGAAAGCCATAACTCAAAGTACAGTAAGTCCTCACTTTATGTTGATAGGTTCTGAGACTTTAAGCAAAATGACATAATGAAACCAATTTTACCATAGGCTAATTGATATAAACAAGAGTTAAGTTCCTACATCTCATCAATGTTATAACCAAACGATGTTGAACAAAATGAAGTTATTAGAGAACGTGTTATATAGCTTTCCTTTGTTTTCCATGTTCTAGAGGTGTGAACCCCCGCTCCTGGTTACTTCAGAGGGTTCCCCACAGAAGATGTTTTAATCCCAACACACCATAAAGATGGTAGTATTAACTCTACTATTCATTGGAGAAACATTTCAATCACCTATCTTACTCCTTGTAAGAAGTGACTTTAGGCAAGAGCCCTCTCAAAGCCCATAATCTTACACCATTAAAAGCTCAAAAAGAGAGGAAAAACTACAGCTCCCAGTTAATTCTCATGCCATCAGGAAAGTATCACCAATGTATGATACAGGAACATTTAAGTAGTCATAATAAATTAGGTATCTCTCAGAAATCTGGAATCTCTCAGAAAACACAAGCTTCCCCTCATTTGTATCTTTATGGTAAAAAGTATTAATGAATCTGTAAATGTAAAAATACTTAGGTATTTAATAAATCTTTTTTAATAAGTGAGCTTGCTCATAGGAGTATGTAGTTGCCTGTTACACTATCCTCCCCCAACCCCCACATCCTGGTCCCCTGATTTTATGATCAGAAATAAATAGCTAGAAAATTGAGGGTCCTCAAAAACACACCAGACACCAGGTTGAATAAGGCTGTGCTTTATTACATGCATAATTACAAATATGTGCTAAGTGAAAATGTATAAAGCAATGGCGACCTGGGTTTAAGCCACACAGAGAAAGGGCTGGACAATCCCATTAACCCTTCTGCCGATGTCCATTCCATTGCCTTTAACACGATTTTTTCCATTTCTTACAATTTGCATAGCACTTACTTGTCAAAGTACTTTCCATTCATTGTCTCGATTTATCCTCACAACAACCCTGTGAGGTAGGTAGGGCAATTAACACTATCCCCATTTTGCAGATGGGAACAATGAGGCACAGAGTGGTTAAGATCTCGAGGCTAGTTAGTAGAAGCATAGGGAACAGAAACCAGGTCTCCTAACTTCCCAGCCCATGTCTTCCTTTTTAGACTGTTGCTATGCATGACCAAGGAGCAGAATGAAGTGAGCAGTGACCCATAGCTTTGGTATAGGCTGTGCCTATGAATGGGAACCAACATCTCTAAACGTTAGAATAAAGCTAAGAAGGTGTGACTAAAGGGTTGGTAACACTCAGATAAATAATTGATCTGAACAGCTCAGCACCAAGCTTCCTGTGGAAACTCAGGCTAAATTAGCTTTGGTTGATGCTAGTTTCTAGATGCCTAGTTGATGTCTACACATTAACTTCAGCTGAACTTTTACCACTCAGGAACTAAAACATTGAGTCAGACAGGTTTTCTTTGGCCACTGCAGTTGGAGCCGATGCTACAAATGAGCTTATTACAGAGATATTCATATAGTGGTCCATGGTCTAGAATCCTCTGATCCCTCCTGGCCTCATTGGCTCACCCAAAGGGGAGTATTTTTCCTATAGCCAGAAATGAATGGACAGAGGTAAAAGCAGGATGCTGGCCTTGGTCAAATGAAGAAGAGTCGCCATGATGACATCAATGTTATCCTTAAGTGATATGACTGGGTGCTGTCTATCAGGCCCAACTCTTTTCTAGCCTGTACCTGGTTAGCAGCATAGCTTCAAAAGACAGTTTAAATGAACAAAATATTAAACACATCATTTGTTATCTAGAATGAAATTAATTCTTAATCATCACATAGTCCCAAAGGACCAAATATATAATAACAAAGTAAATACTAAAAGATGAGTAGTAAAAAGACAGGACAATAGGAAAGAAAGGAGGAAGAAGAAGGAATAAAGTAAAATGGAGGAGGGAAAAGGAACACTCTTGAATTACCATATACTTTGAGGTACACTCAATATAATAATGAGGCTGCAGATTCCCGTCCTGATAAAACCATCTCAGGCCACTCCCTCATCCCCTTTTTGCCAGATGGCATTTCACTCACCAAATCCTAGACTGCCTCTGACTTTCAACAGATTTGGCCTAGTAGATAATAATAAGGTTTAGCAATGAATATTTCATATATCTGCCTTGAGATGCTAAAGCCCTCGACACTCCCAACAAATACCACTGGCTTTTGCCTCTACAGTGGAGCAAAGCCCTGTTGGCCCCATCAACTCAGAATTATCAATGTTATCCTTAGATAATTCTTCCATTCTCTATTTTCAGAATGAATTTCTCCCTTCCCCAAGGTCCACATTCAAAAATTATGCTTGTAACAATTGAGAAAAAATTGAATTTAGGGCATGGGGAGGAGGAAGAGAAAGAGCGAGACAGAAAGTAAAAAAGAGAGAGGGAAGGAGAGTGGGACAAAAGGAGAGAGGAAAGGCAGAGACCACTTTTTAAAAACCTCATATTTTTATACCATCACGTGCCTTTCTTTAGGCAAGATATTCATTCAATGAGTGTGCACACAGAGGCTGAAGACCCTTTGGCAGGAACTTAGAGGTAGGGATTTATGACTGCGAGATTGGGCTGGGTGACTCAATAGGTCCCCTCCAAGAAACGCAAACTCCACACATCATATACTTTATTTCTTTCTTGGGTGGTTTGGCAAAATCAGACTACACAGTGGAAAAAAAAACAATTTTGTTCCCTACATCACTTCAAAACTTTTCCTAGATCCAGATGTTTAGAAATGGGACTGTGACCAGCAAATATTTGGGGAATAGCTTGAAGTTGCTAACACCTACTATTCCAAGAACTTCTCTTCTTGGAGCAAACAACCAAAATTGAGGCAGAACAAAGTCGAGTGGTCACCACAGGTCCACTACACTGATTTCATTTCAAATTTACACAGTTCCTTGAGCTCTGATCTGAGAAACCCTCATGTTTTTTCTTTCTAATATACAGTAAGTACATACTGGGAAAGCAAAACATACAGATTTAAAAACATTTTGCTATCAAAATTCAAGACAATCTACCTAAAGCTTATCATTTAGTTAATGCAGTAGTGGCTGCCCTCCTTCATGTGTTGATGTCTTGTCTTGGGTCAGCCCTCTCCATAAAAGCAGACTCACTCCAGCCAAATGTTTTTACTTGGAAAGCCTAGTATTTGGGAAACTATTTGACTTTTTCTTCCCTTGAGGCACATAATCAAGAAGTTTATAAATGCTAGGATGTATGGCTGGCCTTCCTTCCACCATCTTACATGAACTCATATATTTTCTTACTAGGGCTTTTCCACTGCCACAACTCTCCAATCCCTGTCCAAAGGGAATCTAGGCAATCCCAGAGGTGCTTTTAAAAAAATTAAGATTTTAGGATACTTAAATTCAGAGCACATATATAGACATCTATTTTTTTAAAGGAATCAATATTCTACCTCCCATTTATTTTCTAAATTCCTAATTTTTTCAGGGTTTTCAAGAGCTCAATACTCTATGCACTGCCATGAAAGATGCTCTCCTGCTTTCTCTGAACTGATGGATGGTCTGTACTTGGCTCTGATCCAGTGTAGGTAAACTGATTTTTCTCAGTACAATGTGGTCAGTCGTCAGCAAGTACTTGGCCAATATAAAGCACACTGGCTGTTTCAAATGCTCAATACCGTCTTCACTACCATTGTTAAAAACCAACTTTAAAAACTGCACTCCTTGTGATTTGTTTTTTAAAAAACCCCAAAACCAAAGATACTGTGGGGTAACAAGTATACCTTTCTTTTCATAGCATAACAAAACAAACCAAGATCAAGACCCAACCAGGATAGGTGATTTAAATACTTAAAACATACAGCAACGATTACATTCTATGATGGTCTCTACTGCATGCTAAGTTTTTAAAAACATATTTGCTCCCCCTACTCCTGAACAGGTCCATAACATGATTGAGAATTACTTCACAGCCTTAGACCACACTGTCGCTACTATTTTATCATTCTCATTTCCAAATATAATTGAAGGCCAGCTAGAAAAATTTATATTGTGCTCTGCTCTACCTATAAACGGTTCAGATTCAGCCTCTGGTGCCAAAACAATTGAACTGCTTTGCAGTTCAAATCAGCAAGTTAATCGTTTGCTCTGCCAGCTGGCAAATCCAAAGTATCATCAATGTCAGATTATCCACCAGAGGATATCTGTTCTGTGGACTATACCACCTCTGTTCCATAGCTGGGCTGAGCCAGAAGGAATCCGGAGCCAGAAAAGAGGAGAACATCTGAACAAACATCTAAATACAAATGATCTTGAAAATGGCCATTATTTTGCATTTTCAGTCCCCTGCTTCTTCCCTTTAATAGTATAACTAATCATCCATTAATTGCTTCAGCTTCTTTAATTCATTACATTGAAGATTTGGAGACCTCCAAAATATAGCATACCTTCTACAAATCTATAGACTCTCACTCTTTTCATGGCTGGATGTCTACCAGATTTTTTTTCTTGGAAAATCCTCTCTCGAAGTACTTATTGGCATTCTTTTGTAAATCCTTCTCTTGTGTCAGGCACAAGGGAATTTTCTTTTTTTAATACCAAAATAAACCAGTCTCAATTCATATTCATTTTTGAAGCACACATTATTTAGTCTTTTTCCATTGAGGTATGTGGCCATTTGAGGCTACTGACAAACATTTTTTACATTGGCCTCATTTGTTGGTTAAGTATGTCCAACTGCTGAATTGGCAGTGTCAGAAAGAACATTTTCCTTTGCCTCAAGACAAGAAACTGAGTGTTAAGGTCCTGAGCTAGCAGTCTAGCAGGGAACTCTAGCCACAATTAGCCAAGCTCTGAGCCAAACCATTGTATTAGACATATAATGGATGCCATACACTACAGTTACTTCTAGCATATGGGTTAAAGAATTCCTGAGAAGCTGAGGTTAATAAATGAGATTTATCAGGACTGAGGTATCAAAGGGATATTATTCTCTGGAGGATCAATTGGTGCTTAACATTTAGAAAGTATACCTTGGCACAGTGTTATCTGATTTCTTGAATTTATTCTCTGAAGTAGCACCTTAACACTGGCTCATCTGTCTAAAATAAAAAACGGAGCCTAGAAGAAACACAAAGGCAAACTTAGACACCCTCCATATTGCTGCTGCATTATGAAATGCAACCAAATCTTTCACTGTCATCAAATACCAGAAATACTAACATTTCCTGTTTTGCAAATTTTAGTTGGATGGCTAATAAGAAAATATAGGTAGTGAACCAGAAATATACAGATGAGAACTTTGATTTCTACATAATATACAGGGGTGGTCAGGCAAAATAGCCACATCTCATGTGAGGGAATCAGTGGCATGGAAGGGACAAAAGATGTAAAGTAACTGAGTCATGGCTATCATATAAAATAACATAGATTTTTTTTCTCTTTCATTAAAATGCTAGAATGATATACTTAAAAGGAGAAACTCTGGTGACTGCCTTGGTATTTTAAAGATAAAAGTCAAAATAAGCCCAGCTGTGGGCAACAAAAGAATTTCAGATTTTGGAAAGATAAAAACTAGGGGTAAAAAATCCTAGAATCCAGAATCAGCAACTTTTAAAATAACATACACTGAGGTGTTTAGGGAGGGGAGGTGGAGGGTTAGGGAGGATATGCTGAGTGACTGCTGATTCTAGGCCAGAAAGATGGAGGGAAGTGCTGGGAACAGACTTGTAAATGAGAAAGGCTGAACTCTCACCCCTGGCAGTTGCCTCACTGCTGTGGGCATGAGTGTGGAAACTGAGGCATAGCAGCAGCAACTGGGCTACAGAGCAAAGCAAATGGCTGTGTGTTACCTCTGGTCCACATGCCATAGGATTACTGGGGCTTGGTTTATAATTTAACTAGCCCTGGGAGTTATTTTTTGTAATAGGAATGATTAACAAGGCAGAGTGCTCAATCCGAAAGAGAGGACTCGAGACTGAAGAGTGGAAAGGAGCAAAGAATGGAGAGGGAACAACTACACATGGATAAAACTAGAAAATGAAACAGTGGTTGGAATGATGGTAGTGGCTCTGTAATTTCACCAGGTGTCCCTAGACTGTGATGTTTTCCACTGCAGTTAATGTGGTAGGAAATTGAGGCAGGCACCTTTTCAACTGGATACAAGCACCTTTGGTGTCACCAGGCCTTGTCCACACCCCTGGGTCTGAGGATGGTTCGGCATTTTATTTAGAACTCTAAGGAACCACAAGGGAGTCAGTCACAGCTGCCTATCCTGTTCCAATGTTGAATATTACTGAAAGTAACCTGAGCCTAAATTCATGTTCACAGGACAACACTGGCCTGTTTTACGTACTTATCACTGGCAGGAGGCATGAGTGTCCAGTTATTTTAGTACTGGTGGTCTTTACAAAGGAATGCATGAGAATGCAGATACAGCTCGGAATCTTCCCTGGTTTACCAGTATGCAGTCTAGACTTGGTTCCCTTTACTATTCTTACATATTCCAGAAGCCTAAAGCACCATCACTCATGGAGATGGCATCTGGGTAAGACGATTAGCTGGGACCTCACAAAATGTGAAATTCCTAGTCATTGACTTTGCTTAGAACTTCACTAATCATTCATTTCGAGGAAGCTGGAGAAATTATTCCTTAACAAATTCATGGCAGAGTCCTTGTCTACTAGCTAACAAATACCATCTGGAAAACTATCCTTCCTGCAGACAAGGAGAAAGCTCTGTAACTTATCTTTGTGCACTTCAAAAGAGTACCAGGAACAAGCAAGCTATAAAATCAACCTCTCTAAATTTGTTTAGAGGAGTTTAACCAAAAGCAGCATTGTCTTATAATCAGGTATTAAAATTAACATATACATACACACAAACTAATAATGCTAAATATTGTAACAGGAACAAGATAACATTTGAACTGAATTTTCACAGTCTGGAAAATGCCATTACTATTTTCCTTCTGGCTTTCTTTTCTGTGGTTGGAAAAGCAAAGCTCCTTAGTTTACACTTCATCTTCCACCAATGACAGTTAAGAGTCCAAAAAAAGTGACTTTCATGAGTTTCCTGCAGGCTATCAATCAGGACGGTTGGAATTTTTCTTGCATAGTTTTCAGTGATTGCATATTGGCTAACAATTATATTTTAAATAAAAAAATCTTTTAAAAAAGAATTAAACCATAACAATCTTGCTTACTCTTTCATGAAATCTTTCTAATACAATATCACAGAAGCCTAACTGCATTTTCTCCTAAACAGAAGATTAATTTCCAGAGATTATTATGTAGTGCAACTGGTTAACTTATAGGAAAGAGACAACACACTAATATAACTTCACCATCCAAATATGGGAAATGTGTTTTGAGTACCCAGTTAATAAAATATACCCGCAGTCTGCAATGTCCTTGCTGTTTTGTATCCAGCACAACCCTGTGATTCTAGTTGAAGAGAATGGAATCAGGATCTTGGTTTGCCATCTGTGCTATATGTTTTAACACATCCTTCTTGGTAATAATTCCAAGCAATCGCCTAAAAGACAAAACAAGACAATATGAATTTGACTTAACTTTTGCAACCCAGTTCAAATGTCCCTCTTCCAGAATACCTTCCCTGTTCCTATGGCCAGCTATAACTGTACCCTCCTCCCAGCAACAACACGTTTTGTTCACTTGTCTTGTTTGCTGTTGTGCTATATGCACTTGTATGTTCTTAGCTTCCCTATAACACTGCATACTCCTTGAGGGCAGAGAAGGGTTTTATTCATTTTTGTATCTCCCTGGAGTCTAGTGGAATACCTTCTTAAATGAAGTAGGAATTCAGTAAATGTTGAATAAATCAGTTAAGGAAAGTCCCCTTCCTTATTTAAATCCTACAAGACATCTGTTACACCATTTACAAATTTTAGAGGGTGAAATTCTTATGTAATTGCTGGATTAACTTACCATTTCAGAAAAAAATCCACCCTTCTCAACTTCCCTTCTTTTCCAATAAAAACAGCTGGGCTTTCTTTACTGGATAAGAAATATCCCGGAAAGAAAAAGCCTAGGCCTTGGGAGTCAGAAGACTTCTGTTTAAAGCCTATCTCTGCTATATATTAACTGGGAGCAGTTAATATATAGGGCTTTTTAAATCACATGGAAGCTTGGTTTTCTCATTCTCAAATAACAATAATGAAGGCATTATAAAGACCAAATACTATACACATACTACTTAATACCGTTTTAATTTCAGTGTTGTCTGTTCATAAGAACACAGATGTTTCTTTTTTGGGAGAGGAACTGAGTTATTTATAATGTGCAACCAGCAGCTCACATCTCTTAAACCCACTTTCTGCCCCACTCCTCTTCTATTAGTTATGATGATAAAAGAAGCACATTCATCTTCATCTTAGAGCTTCAAAAAGGCCTATAAGTACTACTAATATTCGTTTGAATTAAGTTCTTCTTTCTTTATCTCTCTATAGTCTTTCTCCCATGATCCAATTCACCTTCATAAAAGAGCTCTCACCCATTGTGTGTCACCAGGCACTGCCGCAGTCCCAGCTTGCGGAAGATATCCACGACAATCTCCATGGGGGTAAGGTCAGTCACAGTGAAGGGGCTGAGATCCAAGATGTTCCGAAGCTTTAGGGTGGGTGGAGTGTATGGTGGCATTGGAGGAGAATGCTCAGTAAAATAAATGACGGATGTGCTCACGACTCCATCTTGTTTTTTTCGAGCATTTTCTATTTGAAAAGACAAAAAAATAAAAGTTGAAAATGGAAGTGCTATATCTATCCTTCTGGCCCCTAACTAGTCCCCTCTTCCCTCCATCTTCTCCCATTTCATAAATATTATTTCCATAGTGGATTCCATTATCCCCTTTCTGAAATCCTTACCTATTGAAATAATGAGATCTCTTCGGAGGACAAAACCCACAAGTCTTTGGGACTCCCGGGACACCACTACTGGGAAGCCACTATAAGTGGTTTCACTGATTACGGTCTCTACATCTTCTACAGTCATACTGTCCTGAGTAAGGACAGTCAACAAAGGATCATTTCTCCGGGGTTTCATCACATCCATTGCCAGGGTCTTATGAGCAAACTCTTCTTTGGCTTCAAGAAAGGGGTATCCATTGAGACGGATGTGGGCATCATAGATGCCCTCCCGCCCCAGAGCATCTGCCACCCACTTGCTAGTCATTGCTGCAGCCATCAGAGGTACAATGTATTCCAAGCCACCAGTTAGTTCAAACATTATGACAACAAGAGAAACAGTCATCCGAGTCACCCCACCTGCAAAGAAACAGACACAGGCTACTGAAAGTAGGAAAAGTAGAGGATTCATTACAATTATCAGCCTGTTACAGGTCCCATTCAGGAAAAACTTACTTACCAGAAACATTGCCAAAAGGAGGTCTCACCTATAAACTGCACAGACCTCAGCAATGAATTAAAGGAAGTTTATAATGGGCACAAATCAGATTTCTCAAAATTGCATCTACAAAAGTACAAGATGCTTTCTTGATTCTTCTTTTTGTTTAGTCTGTCATTTTCCCCCCTCAAATTATAAAAGTAATTGCAGAAGATAGCCACAATTTGTGTAACACTACAGAAACTAGACGTTCCCTGGGATGTGCAGGCTCACTGTGGAAAATTCGGAGGAAAAAAGTATATAAGAGAAAGTCATAATCTATAAGCTCGCTATCTAGAAACAAGCAGAGTAAAAATTTTGAATGACTTTTTCAAGATGTTTACTATGCAAAAATATGTTTTTACATAGGTCAGCTCATATTATATGTTTAATTCCCCCACGTGCTCCCCCCACCAAACACTTTATGTTGGGAACGTTTTGTATATCATTACAAATTTATTTAACACTATTATATCTAACATCTTTAAATACAGTGTTAAATAAATAGTATAACATTATATGGATGTATCATAATTTATTTAACTAGTCCCTTACTGTACACATTTAGGTTGATTCAGACTTTTTGCTATTATAAATAATACCACGATGGACATTCTTGTGCAGATATCTTTGTCTAAATTCCTAATGATTTTCTCAGTATGACAGAATTTGAGAATAGAATTACTCTCAAAGGGAAGGAATGTAGATATATGGTAAAGAATGCTTTCTTAAAACACTTGAAAAAATGACAAACCCAACAGGAAACAGATGGTCACTTAAAAAGAAAACTTCAATTATGTTTAATATCACTCTTCTTTATCATGTCACCTGGGTAGCAACTTCTTTGAAATCAATGCATACACTACTCACCTAAGCAGGCTGCAGCCCCAACCATCGCATAAAGGCCAGGGGTGATGCAATCAGCTCCTTGGCTACACCAGCTATTGAAGATGGCCCAGTCATGGTGGTAATAAGCCAGCTGTTCCATTCCTACTCCTAAAAGTCGACCCGCTATAGCACCAACAGCCATGCTAGGGATAAAGAGGCCAGAAGGGATCTGCAAAGAGAAAGCAATAGATGGTTAGTGAGAAATGATGGGATTGCCTGGCATGTGAAAGGACTAGAGGATTGACCCTCTACAAAGCAAACAGGCCAATGACAATGTAACTATGCACTATGGTAGCAAGTGGCTGTAAAGATTTGTGTAACACTACAGAGACTAGAGGTTCTCTGGGATGTGCAGGCAAGTACGACTGCAAAGAAGCTTACCCTGATTCGGGGTCCATCAGGCTAGAGCCTGAACTCTCCAGACCAACACAGAACTGGAGGCAGAAATTAAGCCTTTCCCAAAGAAAAAGGAAAATAGATGGAGTTTCTCATATATGCAGGCATTTTCCCCAATTTTGAATTCTTATCAACAATAATTATTCTTTATTGACTATCTACTATGTTCTATGCTGGATACTCTAAGGCAAGATTTTAGGAGGTAGGTGCTTTTATTCCCAAATCACAAAGAACCTAAGGTTCAGAGAGGTTAAATAACTCACCCAAGGCCAACATTTAGTACATACTGGTGCTGGGGTTTAAATGTAATGCTTGTAACCACTCTCATGTATTGAATCCTAACCCATTGCTCGCACAAAAAGGATGGCACATGAGGTTTCAGTTTATTTTGGAAATGAAGAAAGATTAAATGATTAAAGTTTTTAAATGAGGTAGTGACTGTGGTTGCATAACTATACAGAAAGGGAACCTTTATTTATCTCCCTGCTCTTTTTTGACTCCTAGGATACTATAGTGAATTCTCAATTTTCAGAACTAGAGAGGGAAATGACGACAAGGATAATGAAAACAACAGATTATTTGTAAATAGCTTGTGTTTGATTTTTGGAATACATTTGAATCTGGATGAGTCTGGTCTGAAAATTCACTTCAAATAAAAGAATAAGGCCACAGGTGAAAATGGACTCAATAAGCACTGCAAAACTTTCCAGGCTGTTGAGGGTAATAGATGATGTCATCTCAGAGATTATATTACTGCCTAAACTGAGTTGCTGTCTCTAGTTCCCTGGTTTCACTATCCATTTCCCCAGAGAATACAGGGAAATAACTTGGTAGTGGGGTGCTAAAAAAAGGCACAAATAAAAACCGACAAAGGTGGAGGAAAATACCTTAACAAAATTTCTTTTCTGGTTTCTTCTGAAACATAATGATAATGGGTACCGAAAGTAAAACATACTGGCCTAATGTCTGCTTTTGGCAGTTTAAATATTAATTTAGAATCATCTGTGAAGTTATTCATAACTGAACACCGATACTAACTGTAAAAACTACATTTAGCTATACATTGGGCTAAACCATGTGAAATTGCCATTTTAGTGGTCAAAACAATTAAATACTGGCAACCTCATTTGGTTCAACCTAATATTTTTGCTTTATTTGGTAAACTCTAAAGCTATCCTATAAAGACCAACATTGTGCTGATCAGATATATATTTTTTTAATACGCAATGCACCGGAATAAATACCTCATCATCCTTTTTGAGGGACAAAATGTTTTCCACAGAAAAGAAGACAACATTTCTACTTAAAACCTCAGCACTGAGGTTTGCATCTTCCCTAAAACGAAGCTTGGACAATTTTAGATAGAGGTACAATTGTCTAAGAAGTTATGAGGGCATGTGGGATAAAACAGGCTTTGAGGGTTGAGGAATACCATTGGATGAAGTTAGAAGCACCACATGAGCTATGAGGATTGTATAATGTCTTGGCTTTGCCCTCCAAACCCACAGCCATACATACACCTACCAAGTACCAAAAGAATCTCCTTACCTTCATGCCAAAGGTAAATATAGTAATGACAATTTTCATTACAAGTGTCAAGGCCAGCTGCCACATGGCACTGTAGACTCCCACACCAGCTGGCCTGTCGGGCAGTTCATCCCCTTTGCTTGTGTTGAAACGGTTTTCATAATCACAGAGTTTGGAAGAGTCTAGAAGGCCACAGTCATTAAACAGCTCAGAAATGAGCTCACTTGTGCTCATTCGGGTGTATTCATTGGGGAAAGCCAGGATGGCAGTGATGGCTGTCACGATGAGTACTTCAATGACAGGATACTTGCCCAACTGGGTGGTCTTACGCTTCCGACACCAGGCAATGTTTGTGCGGATAAACAACGCTCCCCACAGGCCACCAAATATGCCCAGCAGAATGAATGGCACAAGCTCAAAGAGATGCCATGGAGTGTGAAACTCAACGTAAAATAGAACCAGGCGGCTGTTCCCAAAAGGATTGATGGAACGTAGAGTAAATGCTGCCACCAAGGCAGCAAAAAATGAACGCCACAAAGTTTTGAGGGGAAAATAGTAGCTGACCTACAAGAGAGAAGGTGAGATGAAAATTCAGTCAATACACAGAAACTGTTTCAGGTGAAAAGTTCGTACTGCAGGAATTAAGAGTTGAGGATGAAAACTGCCCAGAGATCTCTTGTTACATGGTAAAGCACTGAGTTGCACAGAGCACTTTGATAAATACTGGCTAGGATTTCCGACACAAAAATCATGCGCATGGTACAGTTGAAAGTAGTTACCTCTTCTAGGCTGAATAATACTCCGCCAATAGGTGCCCCAAAGGCGACGGATACACCAGCTGCTGCTGCAGCCGACAAGACCTACAACCCAAAACTCAAAATTAGTCATAGAATAATGCTACTTTCCCACCTTCAATCACAGTTTTAAAAAGAATGTTAGTGATTACCAAAACATTAAAAAAAACTTTACGTGTTCCATATCCAGTTTATAAAAAATGAAGTTCAATTTATATTTACTTTGAGAGCAAACATTGTATGCTGGATTTTGAACACATGGTTCACATGCCTGAACAAGAAGAGGGTTTGCTTTTGTAATTAACTTAAGTATGTGATTTATTCCAAATTATGCCCCCCTCCCCAAAACTCCCAACTCAGTAACTTAAATTTGAGTTCGTAGACGTATTCACCACCTAAATGTACTTACAGTGATGTGTTTACATAGTATTTTCTTTGTAAAGGAATGCTTTTTAAATGAGATTTTCAAGGAAGGCTTTAATGATACAAAACTGAAGTCACAATTGGCTCACAGCTATTTAGGAGCTACAAATATTCATACAATAGATATACAAGGTTTCCTATACTATGTGCCCTACCCCATGCCTAGTGACCTATAGAAACAGAATTAAGTAGGCAACTAGAAGCAAAATTGGAAGTAGATTTTAAAGGGAAGAGAGACCTAAGTATATTTAGGTGAGGCAAGGTAAAAGGCTAGGAGAGTAGGGAAGAACATAACAAACACATCAGAGTTAATAGAAAGATAAAGTCCTTTCATTGGATTCTGGTTGCTGTGGAGTAACATATGATTTGGGACAGTAAAGAAGTATTTCAAAGAGAAAGTTGAATAAAATTAAGAATTTTTTAAGAATAAAATGGCTCTTGGCAAAATAGGCAGACAGGTTTCTCTGGGAGTATAGGATGGTCCAGGAAAATGAAGGGGAGGAAAGAATAACATCTCTGGTACTAGCTGGGAGGACTTCAAAATTTATGGCTTTATTGGCTTTCATCTGAGAAGATGAGGACAGTCAACACAGAACTTAACAGGGGGGATTTCAATGACTCTGTTTATGATGAATTATGTGGGAAAATAATCAAAGTGGCTAGTTTGCTTTAATTTTATGTTGTAGAGTGGAGTCTGTCTATGCTCTTCCTTCTCAAATCCCTATTTTACTCTCAATCATCTGCCCACTTTGACAAGGCCCTGGGACACAAAAGGGTTGCTGCCAATCAACCGGAAAATATAAGCGGAAAGTCTAAAGCAATAGGAAGTAAACTAAAGATTCAAGTATTCATGAATCTAGTTAGAGAAATATCTGACATTTGTACAAAGAAACAGCCAAGATCAAACTCCCCTCTCATTTTATAAGAACTTATCTGAACGAAAATGCCAATTTTATGGAATTAAAGTAACCAGCAGTCTATAGTTTCAGTCGCCTCTACCCATGCAAAACCAGCGACAATTAGCACTTAACACTCTTGACAGTTAAAATGGTTTTTTTCCAATTCTTTAGCTTCTGTTGTACATTATTCCCATAAACAACCTCACCAATTTAATACAGCCTTTATGTTCCTCTACCATTTGACAGCTAGCTAAACAGTCTACTCAGATCTCCCATCTCTCGTTTCCCCTCTCCCTTTTCCCCTCTCCCTGCTCTCCCTCCCTCCCTCCCTCCTCCAAGCCTTCCTCTTTGGCCAGGAACTTTCCCCCTTGAACTATCAAAATGTATTTCATATTTGAAATTTTAACATCTCTGAGTTTCCTTCTGGGGTCTTATGGTTAATTTGGGGAGGGGCTTTATTTTCAAAATAAATCACTAGGTTCCAATTTTGTGAAAATCCTTTCTAGTGAAATGACCTTATTCTTTACCTATTCCATATGAGATTTCTTTGTAATTCAAGGAAAATAGAGCAAGAACCAATTTTTTTTAAATCCTTAATTACGGCAGGATGGAAGTAGCCAATGACTTTGAACATACTTTTAAAAATGTTCTCTCCTCAAAATGATACACATTAACAACAGCATAAACATGAAAATGACTACAGATATGCTGCAGTGGGACTAATTTAGCAGGGTTAAGGCAGAGAGAGATTCAATACAGAGAGAAATTAATTCAGGGTGGCATCAGGTAGAAATAAAACATGAAAAAGCTGGCATCTGAAAGACATGCTGAATGTGTATTCTTTCACAAGAATAAACAATTTCTTTTTTAAAATCTTCTATGTTTTTCTAAATTATTTTGTGATAGAAATGGCACACACTTGTATAGAATTATATATAATAAAAAGTTTAAGTCCTTCCTTTCCTTTCACTACCACCATACTTTCCCATTCACCAGACGTAGACATTTTTAATGGTTTGGGGTCAAACCACTTTCCAGACATTTTCTTTCTAGGTGCACATACATACATCATTAAAAAAACATTAATTGAATCATACCATACACATTATTGTGAAATTGGTTTTCTAAACCTAACAGTGTTTTCTAGTCAACCTTCCATGTCAATATACAAAGGGCTATCTTGGTCTTTTTAACAGTTGCACAGTATTCTACAATATGGACAGAATATTATTTATTCAATCAGTCCCCTATTGATGCACATTGTGAGTGTTTCAGTTTTTTACTATGTTGACAAATGCTGTACTGACTATCCCCATACACCTTTGGGCACACACATGCTAGGATGTCTGTAGGATAAATTCCCAGAAGTGGTAAAATCCTCAAGTTCTCATTCTTAAGATTATACCATTTAAGCTCTCATTTTAAAAAAAAGACAGAGAGAGACTGTTAAGGCCATTTGTTATTACCTCTCTGCGCTTGGCTTCATTCTTCCTGTATTTGTTGAAGCAATGGCACAGGATGTTCCCACAGCAGCAAGCCACATGTACTAGAGGGCCCTCTTTGCCCAGACTCAAGCCAGATGACACTGCCAGCACCAATGTAATGGTTTTGATAATTAGGGTCCACTTACCCAAATAGCCCCTGATAATGAAACCACTCAAGATAGTTTTTATCTGCAGGTCAAACACAGAGAGATTGAATATAGACCAAGCAAGTAAACCAGGCTAAGAAGCAATAATTTGAACCTCATTATATAAACTATACCTTTGAACAAGTGACACATAAATGCTTGACCTACAGTGATCCCAGTTTGGAAGGGAGCCAAGGAGCCCAAAAAAGTGAAAAATATTCTTTAAGTTTTCTTTTGTTGGCCATGTGATAACTGGACAAGGGAGCATTTTAAATATAAGAGTATATGTATATGGAGAACGAGTGGTGGAAAGGGAAGGTATTATTCTTACAAATTGGTACTGCCTTGATTCTCTGCCAGAAAAATTTGTAAGTAGGACTTGGTCAGGAAACGGAGAGGGGCAAGATCATCTGGATAACCTTAAATCTCAGTGGTTTCAGACACCGTCAAGCAATCAAAACCAAAAATAGTTAGAAACAGGATTTTAATCACCCTTTTTCTAGCCCAAATCAGATTGTAGGAAATATAGCAAAATAGTTTTATTTCTTCTGCTCTAACAAAGTTGACAATACCATGACATTTTCAGGCCAGAATCTTGTGATCTATCCTGGGAGGTTTGGGGGGATCTGGCTTACCAGGAACCCCAAAGAGGCTAGGAATCAACTCCCTTTAACGTCCAGGCACCCCGACTGGGAGGAGACTTAGGGAAGATCTAAAAAAGACCTAGATTGCCTCAGGATCTCATCCCGTTTAACATTCATATTGTAATGTGTACTGGAATACATGTTAAAGGGTTCTAACCAAAAAGGATTTATTGTTAACATTTATAAGCCACTTTAGAGACTCACCTCAGGGATTCCAGAGCCACAGGCGTAAGGTGCGAACACTCTGACAAGAGATACAGCAAGGAAGGCAAACAGGAGAGCCCAGAGGACGTACATGAAATAATTGACTATGTAGGCAAAGGCTCCCTGGAACAGGAGAAAAAGAAAGAAGCTTGTTTTAGCTCAGACAGCCTCAGTGAGGCATGCACCTCTTCTGAGTAATAAGTTTTCAGGAGAGGCGATCAAAAAGCAAGACCAATATTAAATCACTTAAGGTGTTCCTTCCCTGATTGTCAGCAAAGCAACTACTGAAACACTGTCAGCTCACTTGCTACTGAATATGCTACACCCAAAGGAAAGTGATAATGGCTTCTAAGGATGGACAAGAACAAGAGCAAACAAAATCCCAAAGCAAATTCACTTTCTATATGAGTGCTTTAATAGATTTTATAGTCAAATATACAGTTGACCCTTGAACAACACAAAGGTTAGCCCTAGTGTAGTCAAAAATCCCCATATAACTTTTGACTCCTCAAAAACTTAACTACGATTGGCCCTTTGCATCCACCGATTCCACCAACCATAGATCAAAACAGTATTTTTGATCTGTGGTTGAGAAACTGCAGATGGTAATATGAAAATATCATTTTCAATCTGCGGCTGGTTGAATATGCAGATGACTGAATCCACGGGTGGTTGAATCTACAGAAACAAATACAAAGAGCTGATTATATTTTTTGAAAAAAATCCACATATAAGTGGACATGCACAGTTCAAACCCGTGTTGTTCAAGGGTCAATTGTATATGATAGATATTATATGAATTTTATTAAGAGTCTTAACAGCCCTTTTATTGGAATAGCTGAACCGTGGCTACATATTTGAAGTGACTGGATCTAAAGGTCCATTAAATTCACCTTAGGCTACCTACCGTGGTGTCAAATTCTCATAAGAGGTTATAGTGTCTAAAATTCCTGGATGTTTTTCCTAAAATACACAATTATGTTCTGCAGAGAACAACCACACCTTTGAGGGAATTTTGTTACCACAGATTCAGCAACAGGCTTATGAAGTAGAAGGTTTCAGGCTCTGATCATAAAATGAAACCAGTGAAATGCCAGATATCCCAAAGAATAAAATGGTAATACCATTTTTAAAATGGAGAGAATATATTTTTGAGACTAACCCCCTATGATAACAAAGTCTGCTAGAAAAGAAATCTAATTTTAACCACTAACAAGGATTTACCAACATTAAAGGGCTTGCAAACAGTTATGTCTTATAAAAAAGCTATTTTGAACACTAGGAGATTATGGTTGCTGATAGAAATATTAGAAGTTAAAAATCACTCAAATTACATGAAATGCAAAATTCAACGAACTTTTGACTTTTTAAAATATAAAATACTATTACAATAATTTGCTGATCTACACAAAGAGAACCAAAATGTTCAAGTTATTCCTTAATTACAATTTCGATACAGGTTTTTCATTATCTTAGTCTCTTGGAGGGACAGATAATTGCTGTCTCCTTGCCTTTGGAATATAGCTAAGGAAGAAGAAGACTCCAGAAGTAGGAAACAAAGAGGGAAAGGGAGTAAAAGAGAAAGTAGTGG